GAACTTATACTCCGGGGCGACTTATAGTCCGGAAAATTTGGTATGTACTTTTCCATATAGAATAGATATTGTTTTATCTTGATTGACTTCACGGAGAACTGCTGCTTTGTGATTTTTCCATTTTGCCCACTCTGAAAAAAATATGCCAGGACATCGACAGATATTAAATCATTTAGCCATACTTTTTCAGGGTCATTTAAAAAGCCTCTTTGAAGAAAAAAAAACAACATGTCAGTGAGGCTTTCCTGCTCAAATACAAAGTGATTAAAATAAGTTAAAGAAAGAACTAAAAGCATGATGTAATAAGCCAGACGTGGGTCCTAAAATTTGACTGGGGTCCGGTTCAGGATCATATACAGTAGATGGAGCGTTTGTGTGACCTTAGATAAATAAAGACATGTGAAAGTCAGTCAGTAAAGGCTAAAATGCTTTTAGCCCTTTTCTATGCCATCTATTGGGGAAATGCGGGCATTGCAGGGGAATTGCAAGATAGAATTTACCGTGATAACTTAATTTGGACATGTTTGGTGGGCCAGATTAAAAAGCCAAACGGGCCGCATCCGGCCCCCAGGCCGTAGTTTGACTGTCCTAAGCATTTAGCGGAATTACTACTGATAAATATTTTGATATTGAATGGCAGTTGAACAACTTTCATTTAGTTGAAGAATTTCAACTTCCTGCTTCCCTATGCCTCTACATTTGATTTTGATCAAGTTGGTGCCACTAATATATATCAATACCAATAATAAATTGTATGTTTAAGTTTCATGGGCTATGGACACCGTAAACTACTGTTATACATGGGTGAAGAAAGGTGTACACGGAGCATATCAACATTATCCAAACCTAAGCTTTACATATTTAAAAAGTTTATCCCATCCATCTTATTTAAATGTGCTATTTCCTGGCTGGCACAGGCTCTGAAACGGAGCCTGGTGTGTCAGAATCTCCCAAATATTCAAGCATAATGGTGACAGAGGCTTTTGTGAAGGTGGTGGAACCAACAGCCAGCTTGTTGTCTCGAGAGATGGTCGCGACAGTCGACTGTCACATTTAGCCCCTTTTATATTGACGTCTCACAGGTCCATTGTGGAAGCTGGACAGGCTGGTCCCACCTTAAGAATCAATCCATCCTCCCTGCCTTGTATGCATGTCAGCCTTTTCTCTCTCCCTGGGAGGGTTATCATCCCCCCCCCCAAACTCCCCTACCTCCCCACGTTCCCTTTGAAAAGAAACGGCATGAATGCTACACTGATCAAGGAAAAATAATCAACTGCTCTTTTGTTTCAGTGGCCCGCTTTTACGGGAGAAAATGAACTTATGGAAATTAAGCCTTATCGTGCGCCGTTCAGACGCTGGGTGTAATGTGATTTGCCTTCCGGTGGCGTTGAGCCGTCCAACCAGGACTCCCCACTGTGAGTTCCGGCCCGCGGCCAACTGACGGAGCTCCAGCACATTCTAACGCTCAAGTTCCGCGACCGCTGCTTCTTCACTTCCTACGGTACACATTTGTTTACGGCGCCCGCTGAGCAACAGCGCGGCAGTGTGTGGAGCTAAGACACTCGTCTGTTTCTTTTAAGGGGCCGAATTCTGTCGCGTTTGCACTTTTTAGACCCGTGTTCACTTCTCCGCCATCAGGTACATGATGGCTAATGCTGTAGCTGTGCTTTGGGGGGGGTCAATAAATCTTTTCTCATTACAGCTTAAATTGACATCCTTTGGCTTAGGCCTGTCATTATGATGTTAAAACTGATTGTGTAGTGTGTAGTGGTAATAGAACAGTGGTTGTCAATTATTTTCTGTCATGCCCCCCCCCCCCTTGAGGACAGAAA